ACAATGTTTTTGCCCATACCGGAAGTGACGACAATTCAAGATGGCGGCGCCCTTGCGAAAAAGGTCTATAGACCAGTGTCCGGAAGTGCTCTTTTTAGCCTCGACCGCAAGGAGAAAAAGCGAACAATAATCTCGAACCCAGACGCTCACGGGGAAGGGGGGCTGCGTCGGCCTGCGACGCCGCTTCCCGTTGAAGGCTTCTTTGCTGGTGTGCCGACTGCCGTTTCGCCGGCATCGGTCCTGTTTACGACGGTATGTGAGTATAGTGCCCGTAATGTGAGAGCCGTGTGTCCATACGCCACTTTGCCGCTGTTGGTTTCCACCTAGCCGAGCCAGAAAACATCTCACGACGAGTTGACCGCGCCGCGAGTGACGAAGAAGAAGCAAACATGGCGACGGTTTGTGCGATTGCTTTGGTGGCTCCGGTGTTGAGTGTCTTCAACGTCCTCGTGAGAAGATTCCCCTGCCCTTCGAAGTTATTGCAAGCACCACGAGTGGCACGAAAGATGTGGAATCATCGTCTCAACTACAAAGCAGGCCTTCACGAGCAACAACTATGCCGAGCAGGCGCTCGGCACAGTTGTGTGGTCAGGTGTTCTACAACGCCGAGGTATTTTCATTTATCATTTGGAATGGCTTCAAGAGTGGGAAATTAATATATTTCGCGGATTGTTAACGCCGAGGCGAGTGCCCTCCGTTGCAGTGCCGTTGTCGCGCAAAGTGCAGAGAAAACCGGGTGGCGATGGCGGCGGTGCTCTTTGATCTTGCGCCGTCGGGTTCATGGAGTCCGGAGTAAACGTACGTACGTGCGTCTGCTGGATCGGTGTTTTGGACTACCTCAAAACTCTTTCCCACGCGCATTTTCCTTGTGAAGCTTAGTAGCTCATCAGACGTCGTCGTCGATTGCGCTCATTTGACTACGACGGACGAGCCTGCGTGATGTGAATTTCACTGCCTAAGATCCTTGTTGTGCTGTAACGAGGGCTAATAAAAGGAAGTGTCTATTCTGCCGGCAGCCGGCACAATAACCGGGGGGAAAAAGTGCCGGCAGTAGTCGCCTATTGGGTCTCGTATAAAACTGATTGTAAACACGCTTATTCTAAACTGTGGATTAGCTCAGTGGGTAAGATGTGCGCCTCATACACAGCAGGATCTTAGTTCAATCCCCCGAGGGAATTTAATTTTGTTTTTTGTTGAGGTATTAGGCGATATTTACGGCATCTCTCTTTTAGAATTAACACTGAAAAAAAAAAAAGAACAAAAAAAAAACACGAATGTTGTTGACGAAACACTTTCTTTTTGGGGGTGAATGGAGGACAGCGGGGCTTGGGCCGGCCGGCACGCCGCCGCAATGCGGTGGTACTGGTGGGCCAAATAGGTCAATATATTTCTAATGAGCAGCCGCAGACTGTCGCCGCTAAAGGAGGGGGAGGGGGGGGGGGGGGGGGGCTATGTTAACGAGCTCCCCGCTGATACACGCGCCGGACGTGACTGCCGGTAGAATTTCGGAAAAATTATTCTGCCGGCTGCCGGCAGAATAGACACTGCCCTAATAAAACATCACCGCGAACTTCTGAACAAACGAGTCGAAGTTTCGTATGTTATCACCACTGATCGCCTGTCACAATATTAATCAATAGCGTTCCTAGACTCCGCCCCCACAGGCACCCTGCTTCGTTGCCCGATAGTAAGTGTCTCCTGGTACCTCGTAGAATTCCAGCTCCCACTTCGAGTAAGTACCATCCTTTAAAACTGGCAATTAATAGTTTCGAACCCAGACGCTCGCAGCGTGTGTGTGTTTGTGAGTGTGTGTGTGTGTGTGTGTGGGGGGGGGGGGGGGGGGGGGGGCGCGTGCTAACATACTCGGAGCCCTCGTTTACGCCGCTTCGCAGCGGCAGACAAGGCGCCACATTACAAAAGAAAGCTAATCCGAGCTGTCTATGTAACTAGACCCATTCGCTAGTCATTCGATGAAACGTCGTGGTCTCGTTTTCATTCGCTAAAACGGCGTTCGATCAAGTGAACGCCTCCCACTTATTTCGGCTCGGCAGGGCCGCGCTGCCGCAGAAAGGCAAGCAGATCGCGAAAATCGGTCTCAAACGTGCCACGAATGTAATGTCGTATACAAGAAGCCAACAATCAAGCATTTGAAAGCTACAAGAAAGCGGTAGCGAAATATTTACTACGCAATGAACCCGGACTGAAACGCGGATGTTAAGGGTCAGCAGACACCGAGAACATTTAAGACAAGAAAGGTTTTCTCTTGTTTTCTTAATCGAGATGGGTTCTCGAATGTTCACGACATCCTATCTGTTGAAGAACGGGCCGCGGAGGCTTCTGGTGAAGACATATTTCACGATGTGCCGGTGCATTCGGACAGCCTGCCGCATACAGCTCCCCAAATCGAGAGAAAACTATGTATTTTCTTATTAACGGATGGCAAGGGGGTTTTTATAGCCTCACTTTCTTTTCAGGGCGGAGTGAATATAGTTTTCACATTTGAAGATTCTAAGCTTAAATGGTAAAACAAAATGGCTAGGTGGCGTAAGCTACCGCCCGATCCAAAGGGCTCAGCCGGATTCATCCATCCATCCATCCATGCGGCGCCCTGGAATTGGCGCGGACACTGGTCTATAATGCTTAGTAAAACTTTTTTTTATGAACGCATTCCCGGGTCTAGGAATTTTCAGTGTAGGACGTTTCGGTGCGGACTTTTCGGTGCACAGACTTTTCGGTGCACGGACGTTTCGGTGTGCGACTTTTCGGTGCGCAGACGTTTCGGTGCACGGACATTTCAGTGCACGGCCAATCAAAACCAAATTTTTTTTTTTGTTTCTAAATGTAATAAGCACTATTTTAGCTAGAAACTAATTTTTTTCGCACTTTATCAACCTCATCGATACTGCTCACTCTAGAGCACGCGCTTTAGCCCTCGGCGCCGGGAAGAACGCCAATCTGCAGGGTGGCTACGTGGAATTTAAAGACATCTTATTCGCCTTTAACGAAGTCACCACGCACTATCGAATGGGCAGGCGGACTTTTCCGCCCCCGCACGGTAAACTCTCCAGGTCTCAGGCAATCACACTAAGAATGTTGCAGACTAGATCCCAGTTTAGCTTTCTTGAGCATTATTGCTCCGGATACCTTGGAGTGTACCTGCCCGGACTGCGGGTCGGTCAGCAGCTTGGATCACATGCTCTGGCGGTGCCCCTCGTTACGGGGGCCCAATCAAGTCACCGAGGAGGAGTGGAGCTCTGCCATCACGAGTTCCTTCTCCCACAACTCCGGGCTGTCCGAGGGCCCACGATGCGGCGGTGAGGCGTCCCCGTCCCCACGTGGGAGCAGCCCGCGGTGCAAGGGCGGCGCTTCTCAGGACCTCAATAAAGTTCGTTGCCTGTCTGTCTGTCGCACTTTACAATTTTTTAGACTTGGACATCTATTTACAGCCACTTACTGATATACCGCCTAAGTGACTTTGTTAGGCGTAGCACGATCCTGCGTGAGGACTGGAGACGTTGGACGGTTTGTTTTGTCGGTGTCTCTTTTCCAACGTAAGCACTAGTCGCATCACATATGCCTCGGGTAATTTTCAACCAACTCAAGCTTCTTGCTGTTGGGGCCTTTTCTACACAGATTACCAAGAGCAAAGCCCACACCTTGACAGAAGACGCCGAGAACGCCTGTATCGACCCAACGCGTAAACACGCCGTGATGTGTCTATAGTGCGTCGGAAAACAGACAACGTATCCAGTCCTCCCGCAGGATGTGCTGCGCCTAACAAAGTCACTAGATGGATCATCAGGTCAACAAATTTATAAAGTGCGAAAAAAAAAAAAAAACTTTTACCTGAAATAGTGTTTATTACTTAAAAAAAAAATACAGAAAAAATTTTTAAAAAAATCCTCGCGATTTTTGATAACTGTGCACCGAAAAGTCCGTGCGCTGAAATGTCCGTGCACCGAAAAGACCGCACCGAAACGCCCTACACCGAAACGTCCGGATCCCGCCCCATCCGCAGTGGTTTCGTTGAAAACAGAAGCCCAACTTGGGAGTTCATAATGGAACAGTTCCAAACTTGCGCTTCTCATACTTTGGCAGGTATATGTGTAGAAAAAGCAGGTTTTACTGGCAAAGTGAAGCCAGATAAGCTATAAATATTTGGCAATGGTCACTGATGTCGAAGTTTACTGTAGCTGCAGCTGTAACGGAAGTATCAGCGTTAGTGGTGAAAAAAAATCTGGAATCATTGAACTTGTTAACATCAGGCGAGGAGGTGTGGTGGTTACGTCTTGGAAGCCACACCCGTTGCTTTAAAAATTATTACGTACAATTTCGGTGTATTTGGGTATTGTGCGAGTACTGCTCAGTATCATAGGTGGTTATAAAAAGAAGCCTGGGTATTAATTGAAGGAGTCAGACCTGCACGCTCATCCCAAAAAGATTTCCGCTCCCGCGCGACCAAGGCGCCATGGACCGCTCAAATGAGCTTGGTTGTGACAGCACCTGCCGCGTCGATTTTATTCCCGTTACGACAACTCGAGTCGGGATGCTTGGTCGGTGATGTAGGCACGGTCATGAGTTGTGACGTGTGGCCCAAACCCCAACAGGAGCAGACGACACCGGCAACAGGAAGAACGAGTCATCGAAAACCACGGTCCCAACAAACCGAGTACAAAGTGCGACAGAAGCAGCAGAGTCGGAATGGTCCTCGACCGCATTCCGGCCTTCCACAATCCCAGGGGCGTGGTCGGCGTGCGCCAGAAAGTCGTTATACAGAAAGCGTTGTCCCGTTGCGAATCAGCGGCACAGCAAGGCAGACGCGACAGAGCGCTGTCCTTGAGCGTGTTGACGAGAGGATGAAAAGCCGCAGACAGGAGGCACAATAGAGGCGTCCCGCGGAGTGGGACAGAGGGAGGGAGGGCCCCCTCCGATGACGTCAAACTGCTCTCGAAGGGGCCATGCAGAGCGGATCCTCGGAGGCAGCGAAAGTGCTCACTCACCGACAACTCGGACGGCCAGCTGAGCGTGTGCCGCCACCACGGCGGGCTCCAGTGCCAGATCGCAGCGGTAGATACCTCTCGTGCGGCCATCGGCGCGCAGCAAATGCACGAAACCCTCGTGCGAGCGCGCGTGCTGCAAAAGGGACCGCTGTCACGCGGACCCGACGGCTTGCGCGACTTGAGGCTACTCACATCCACGTCAACTCCCGGCACGTCGAAGCTACGGCTGGCCGGCTCCAGGCCGCGCTCGTACCAGTAGAATTGCACATTGTCTTTGTACCACCAAACCGAGTGGGGGCTGCGGCCCCGGTCGTCGCTGCAGTTGAGCCACAAGGAATCTCCAAGGAGAACCAGGCTCGTGCCGTCTATTCGCAGCCCTGCAGGGCAAGTCCATTGGTGCGCCTACACAAAGCTCGTGCCGTCGGCCGGTGTCACGGCACAATGGAGCGCTCGCATGAGCGCGCAGAAGGGCCGAACCAGGCCGGAAACAGTCAGACCTCTGTCCGAGGTTCGCGCACCCCGCGCATTCGAGCAACAGTTGTGTCCGTCCCGAGAGAATTGCCCCGGCAGAGATTCGTTTGGCAGTCCTCCAGATGTGCTTCGTTCTGAGAGCCACGCCATCCCTCTAACCACCTCAACCGGCTTTTTCAATCGAGCGGGAGCCCCCCAGCTACCGCGCGCGCCTTTTTTTTCCTTCTTTTTGCCCAGGTAGCAATGTCACTACGGGCGTCGCGGAAAACGAAAACTGAGTTAGATATAGGCCGTGCGACGGTGCCCGTAGCTAATTCGTGAGCGCGTCTCTCGATCCCCGTGTCACTGAACAAATCGCCGGAGATCTCAGATCACCAGGAGAACGAACCGCTCAACCGAGCGCGCCACTTTTCGGCCCCAACCAACGCTCTGTGGAAGGGGCAAGATGGGCTGCGCCGCCCGACACGCATCGCCCGAACGCGCGGGCGCCCAACTTGATGCGCGGGATATCACTCACCGGAGACGAGGCAGATCGCCAGGGAAACGGCAACGGCACTCGGAATGCACGTGTTGATCATCGCTGAGGGAACCGCGATCGGACCGCCCGCATCAGAACCCGCCACCAGCCCACCTGAGGAACGAGTCCGCCGACTCCGCCTTCCTCCACTTTCGGGTCACGTGAGTCGCTACTTCTTTATGCGCTCACCAGAGGGCACAACGAATACGGGCGCCGAAACGCCGGCGCGACGACGCCAAGCGTTTTTGCGCCGCCGCCGCCGAACGACGACGCCAACTGATCGGCGCGCCGCCGACGTCAGGTCGGTCAGGCCCGCGCACACATTTTTAGTTTGCGGCTTGGCGTTTTTGAACGAATGTTCGAACAGAGTCCTGTTGTACTGGGTATTGTTAATTGGCCGTACCCGGGGTTTATCTCCCATCCAATCAGTGCCTCTCCGTACACAGACGAAATAACGACGGGCTTCTCCTCAGACGGCTTAGGAAGAAAAATAAGCTTGAAAAAGCTACAGGGAAGAACTAGGGAGGTGTACACTACAGCCCAGCGGAAATGTTACGCCCCGGCTGGGTAAAAATACGTCATTCAAAGCGTGCAGTAAACTTCTGTGGTAGCTTTCTTCGGGCAAAATGCACACTCTGGAGGAAGTGTTTCTATGGTGATGTTTTGCTTTTTTAATGTTTTTGGGGGTGCTCTCTTATTTGGAGCGTGCGTTTGTATTGTGTGCGACGGGAGAGGTCCTGGCCAGAGCCGTGGATCCTAAACTGACGCGAAGGGTGGACGGCAGTGCAAGTGCCAAAGGGGTTGCGCGGGAAGCTGAAAAGTTGTTCGTATGCATGCTGGGGCGACCTTGAAGTGTAATTCCCTGTGAGACGCGGTGGGCAAAGCGGAAAATACATGCCTCAAAAGGCTCAAAAGCCAAGCCCGGCTTGGTGTTTGGCAGTGGATCTTGTCATAAAGTGATTCGAACCAGGGGAAAAGAAAAAACGATTTTTAAATAATATGTAAGATTTATTTGGTTAAAATTTATTTGATTTAAGTCGGACTTATTTTGTTCAGATCAGATTCGTAGCATTAAAGTCCGATTAGTCAGAAAAGAGTGATTTTTATTAGTTGGTGCAAATAGGGCAGATTGCTTCTACAATCCGCCCAAAAAAAATTAAAATTGGGTTGTGTGTGCGTTTATACAGCCTAGAACTTGGTCTGCCTCACAGGGGCGACGAGTCTCCCAGCTGTAGATGAGAAATTTAGCCAGTGCGGTACAGCCGCTAGCCTGGGGTCTTTAACGTGCACCACGCAGTAGTGATACACGACCGCACGCCGGTACGACGCTCATCCAGATCGAAACGGGCAGGGGTGGGGCTCGAACCCAGGATCACAATCCGCCCAATCACTGAAAACCGTGCGGAAGAAAAGAAAACCACTAAATTTACTTGTATCATAACGTGCAGTTTAATTAAGAACGTTTTATAATCCCAGAAAAAAAGGCGTCTTAATTTGTTTACTTTGTGAAAAGGCTTCATTTTTGTAGAAATATTTTGGCCAATCTGAGTAACTTTTGAGTTTCAAGTATGAAAACCATAAAAAAGCAACTACCACCTTTTTTTTCTTTTCTTTTTTTCTTGAAAGCTTCTAGCCTAATTAGTTTTTATCGTCTGTTTCATGCACACGGTGCCAAGTTGCAATTGCCTCCGTGACCGGCTCCAGTTCATACGATAACGGTATCTGTGGTTGCATCAAAAGTGCAAAGCAACAACAACCACAAAAGAACTTTAAAGGGACACTAACAGGGTATTTATGCCCAGCTACCCAGAACACCTTGACTTAAACAGCGCAATTAAGTTACGTAAGGAAGAGACAACAGGAAGGAAAGAGCGCTGACTCACAACTGAGGTTTTAATAATGATGTAGTGAAAGAGAAGGAAGGTGTCAAGTGCGGTAAATATTATTAATTTAAAGAAGGTTGCAATTTATTAACGGAATAACAATTTGCATTTTTTAAGTAACCCAAGTGAATATATCTACGTACAAATATTCAGATGTGATCTACAAAGTTGACGGTGACCCAACGGTTACTGGTTGTCACAGCCAGAGAAAGAAGATACATGATGTCGACGGTGATCCCAAGGGGGGTTGGCTTCCACAGAAATGAAAATTGAGAAGGAAAAAAATAAGAAAAAGAAAACAAGAAGAAAAATAATTTAGGAACTAAAATTCAAAAATGGGAGCTCTTTCGCCGTCAGAGCAATCGAAGGCGTACTTATACAGGCTAGGCCCTTATTCGCGATCTTGCACGCCTCATACACCTCTCTAGTCTTTTGTTCCTAAAAATGAGTCTCAGAAAACCATGATGTGCACCCGCAATCTCTCACATGCACAGCAAGATGGCCCGCTGGCGCTGAGTTTAGAGAAAGTGCATGTTCCCTGAGTCTCACATTGATGCACCTTCCAGATAGTCTCAGATACACCTTCCCACATGACAACAGTATTTCGTATATGATGCCGCTGTGATATTCCACGAACTTCCTTGCATAATTGATTTTACATAGGTGGTGTGTATCCTGCTGCTCGTTGATTTTTGGACATAATCTTTTAAGTTTGTCGGGCGCTGTGAGGAGGATATATGAACCTCAAACTTTGCGGCTACTCTTTTTAGGTTATGGGAGAGACGGTGAAGGTAGGGCATTACCACAGGTCGGATCTTTGTTCGGTTTGGACTCCCTCTTTGACGTTGTTTTAACATGCTCTCCACGATGGTGGTAATAACTGAAGTCGGGTACCCTGAAGCGCGACATCTCTGCTGCTGGATGTTGAAGCTCTCTCCTGCTGTGTGGTCGCAAGACTTCCTCAGAGCCGCCCCCAACGTACTGGCAACAATTCCTCTCTTGACGAGCTTGGTCTGTGCGGAGTCAAATTGCAGAAGATTTTTCTTTGTTCGTGGGGCGTACATCCAGCATACACTGTCGTCGTAGAATGTTATTTTGAGATGTAAGAATTGGAGGGACTGGTTTTCCGGCCATTCATGTGTGAACTTTAGTCCCCCGGCGTGTTCTTCGAATGTCGTTTGAACGGAATCCATGAACTGTGTTCTGGATTCCGTTCAACTGGGCTTATTTTTCACCGGGAAAACACACAAAGAAGCGTGTCCTTTGCTTGTGGTCGTTACAGAAAAAGGATCGTGGCAAGGAGCCATGTCAAGGTTCCTCCAACGGCAATTGGCAACCCTACGACTGAATGACCCTTTTCTGGTCTCCAATTCTGAGAGGGTGATTGACTATCTGGGAGACAACATCTTATCTCTTAGGTATGGCCTATCCCTCGATATAGAAGACTTATTTTACTCCATACCTCACGAGGGGATGTTTACTGCTCTGAGAGAACACATTGAAGCCAATGGAGAAGTAGCATTTCAGAACAACTGTGGAATGGCAGTGGATTCCTTCCTTGAGCTTCTACGGTTTTACTTAAACTCAACTGTGCGTTCAATGGAGAACACTACATACAGAAGAGAGGAATCTGTATAGGATCCTGTGTAGCTCCTGCTTTGACTGATGTTTATATCTCGAAATGTAATAGAGCCATTGATGACAGCCTTGACATTCCCCAGGTTAGTCGTATATTCAGATACGTAGACGACTATCTTATCCTCCTCAATGCCCGACACAAATGTGAGACACAGTTCATGGATTCCGTTCAAACGACATTCGAAGAACACGCTGGGGGACTAAAGTTCACACATGAATGGCCGGAAAACCAGTCCCTCCAATTCTTAGATCTCAAAATAACATTCCACGACGACAGTGAATGCTGGATGTACGCCCCACGAACAAAGAAAAATCTTCTGCAATTTGACTCCGCACACACCAAGCTCGTCAAGAGAGGAATTGTTACCAGGACGTTGGGGGCGGCTCTGGGAAATCTTGCGACCACACAGCAGGAGAGAGCTTCAACATCCAGCAGCAGAGACGTCGCGCTTCAGGGTACCCGACTTCAGTTATTACCACCATCGTGGAAAGCATGTTAAAACAACGTCAAAGAGGAAGTCCAAATCGAACAAAGATCCGACCTGTGGTAATGCCCTACCTTCACCGTCTCTCCCATAACCTAAAAAGAGTAGCCGCAAAGTTTGAGGTTCCTATCCTCCTCACAGCGCCCGACAAACTTAAAAGATTATGTCCAAAAATCAACGAGCAGCAGGATACACACGACCTATGTAAAATCAACCACGCAAGGAAGTTCGTGGAATGTCACAGCGGCATCATATACGAAATACCGTTGTCATGTGGGAAGGTGTATCTGGTACAATCTGGAAGGTGCATCAATGTGAGACTCAGGGAACATGCACTTTCTCTAAACTCAACGCCAGCGGGCCATCTTGCTGTGCATGTGAGAGATTGCGGGTGCACACCATGGTTTTCTGAGACTAAGGTGCTTAAACATTTTAAAGAACTAAAGAGCTGTATGAGGCGTGCAAGATCGCGAATAAGAGCCTAGCCTGTATAAGTACGCCTTCGATTGCTCTGACTGCGAAAGAACTCCAATTTTTGAATTTTAGTTCCTAAATTATTTTTCTTTCTGTTTTCTTCTTATTTTTTTCCTTCTCAATTTTCATTTCTGTGGAAGCCAACCCCCCGGGGGGTTGACCGTCGACATCGTGTTTCTTCTTTTTTTCTGGCTGTGACAACCAGTAACCGTTGGGTCACCGTCAACTTTGTAGATCACATCTGAATATTTGTACGTAGATATATTCACTTGGGTTACTTAAAAAATGCAAATTGTTATTCCGTTAATATGGCCCTTAGAAAGAGGTTAATAATTGCAACCTTCTTTAAATTAATAATATTTACCGCACTTGACACCTTCCTTCTCTTTCACTACATCATTATTAAAACCTCAGTTGTGAGTCAGCGCTCTTTCCTTCCTGTTGTCTCTTCCTTACGTAACTTTAAAGGGGTAGTGAAACGAAATTTTAGCGCCGATCTTGTTGCATAAATATGGGCTAGGGACAGGCACCACCTCGGAAATATAAATATTGCGCTGTAAAACACAGGAGAACTAATTTTAAACATAATTAAACGATTTCAAATTCTCATCTGGTGGATGGGGGGAAGTTCTCGTGACATCACTTGTGCCAAAATAGCAGCGCCGTTCTG